AAAAAATACAAAAAAAATTGAAATAATTCCATGCATTCTATCACACCACAATGCAATAAAGGTTAAAATCAACACCTGAAGAAACCCTAGTAACCACATGAACACATGGAGACTAAACAACACTCTCCTGAATGATGAATGGGTCAAAGGAGAAATTAGGAAAGAAATAAAAGTATTCCTGGAACTAAATGAAAGGGACAATACAACACAACAAAACCTCTGTGACACATTGAAAGCAGTCCTTAGAGGGACGTTTATAGCTCTAAGTGCCTACATTAAAAAAATTGGAAAGAACAGAAATAAATGACTCAACATTGCAACTCAAGACACTTGAAAAGCAGTAACAAATGAAACCCAAACCCAGCAAACAAGAAGAAATAACAAAAATCAGAGCAGAAATAAATAAAATAGAAACAAAGAAAACAATACAAAGAATCAGTGAATCCAAGATCTGGTTCTTTGAAAAGATAAACAAGATTCACAGACCCTTAGCCTAATTAACCAAAATCAGAGATGATTTTCAACAATCAAGAAAATTCCCCTACAGACATGGCCACAGGCTGGTCCAATGGAGGCAATTCCCCAATAGAGGCTCTTTCAACCCAGGTGTGTCAAGTTGACACTAAAGCTATCCAACACAGGAACTTACATTTTAACCTTGGAGTAGATATATTCACTTAGATACCTGCTTTTTGTCCTCAAACATCTTCGTCCTTCTACCAGTATGGATCCAGGATTAGTACACACAAAAGCTGGGGCATCAGTTCTCATTCTCCTGCTTCATCAATTCCTAAATCCAGTTATCAACCCTGTGATTCTGCTTTTAAACTGGTCCATTTTTGACTTATGCCATCATCATCAATCACATGCCACTGGATCAGCTTCCTAAGTGGGGTTTTTAACCACTGTCTTTAATACAGCTCCAAAAGCCATGAGAGAAGGGATTTTACACCAGCTTCCTCAGGCATTTGGTCAATTAAAGATACTCTTCTTACTCTTAAAGAGTTTATTTCTTAGGACCTCCCCTGAGAGAGAAGGAAAGGAGGGGAGGAGGAGGACGAGAGAGAGCAAGCAGAATTAGGAGTTGGGGGCAGAGTTAGGGATTTGGGAGTATAGTTCCGCATAGGGTCTAACTGTGAGGCTCTGGTTTAATTCCCAGCACAACAAACAAACAAACAAACAAACAAACAAACAAACCCTCCAACATTAAAGAAAAGCAGAATTAGAATTCTCATTATGTGATCAATAAATCTTGTAGAATCACAGCAAATATGAAAGGAAATAAATGGGTGAAAAATAAAGATATTTAATGAAGACTCCTCAGGGATAAGCTCAAGAAACACACCAATCTAAAAGGCCACATTTCTTATACTCAAAATACTTTCAAACTCAATGTTTTCAAGTCCTGCTTCTGTTAAGAGTGAAGTCACATTAGTGGAGCTCTTATTTTTACCTTGCTTTCAAGCTTAATTATTTAAGGATCACATTTTATTTCTACTCATGTGTTTACATCAGGTATTGGTCCTCATGTAAATGAAGACATTGAAAAGTCTTCATTATAACCTGATTATAACCTACCTGAGAAAAACACAGAAAGTTGTTTTAATGCATCAAAAGTAAAAGAAGGGAAAAAAGCATTGTAACACCAGGAGAAGATATTTAGCTCTGAGTTTTCTGGCAACTAAGAAAAAATGAAGCATATCAAATTATAAAGCTTCATTTTCTGACAAAAAGAAAGTATATAACTTCATCTACAGAGGCAAAAACTTTCCTGGAAGTAATGCAAGCAATACTTCATCATGAGATTTTTTGGGGGGGGGGGTCTAAATGGGACTAAGAAGAATCTTTTTTTTTTTTTCCCCAGGAAAAGAAATGAATTAGTTTTAATTTCTATAGTATGTAACCCTGGTTGAATCTTACCACCGTCAGTTTCGCCTATGACAAAAGAGATGGTGATTTTTACCAGAGGACTGCAAGAAAGAGTAAACTACATAAAAATATGGGGAAGTACTTAGTAGAGTGCCTTAAGTACTCTCACAAAACAGAGAGATCGCATCAGATTTCATTCTAGTCTTTTCATAAAAGTGAAAATTTGACCTAATGGAAGGAATTCTGAGAGAGATAACTTGTCTTTTCACTCTAGAGTTTTACTGAATACAGGGACAAAACTTGGAGAAATCAGATTGACGAGGTGTGACCGATATATGATCTAAATTCTATTTTTTAAAAATTAATTTTATTTTATGTGTATGAGTGTATGGCCTGCATGTGTGTAAGTCACCCCTGTTGTGCAATGCCCATGGAGGTCAGAAGAAGGGTATTGGATCCCCTGGAGCTGGAGTTACAGACGGTTATCAGTTACGATGTGGGTGCTGGGAATTGAACCCAGGTCCTCTGCAAGAGAAGTTAGTGGTCTTAACGAACCTAACATTTAACTCAGTTGCATTTTGTGGCCAAAAAGGCAACCTACACTATGTTATTTTTCCTCCACACTCATCCTCTCTTCACATTTTTATGTTATTTAAAAATTATTAGACTAGGTTCTGGGGGTGTAGTAGTGGTAGAGTGAATACTTAGCATGCTTGAGGTCCTGTATTCAGTCAGCACACACACACACTCACACACACACACACACACACACACACACACCCTAAAAGATCAATTTTTTACAAGAAAAATTGAGACAAAAATCCACCTACTATACTACTCATGATCATAACACAGGCAACTATTTATGAATGTAAAAATTTATACCATAAAAGGCTTACTGCATGCTAGGCTAGCACTCTCCCATCTGAGCTACACACGGGTCTCTGTTTGTATAAATATCACTTAAAATGCAAAAGAAAATGGAGTTTATTTCTTGGTTACTAACTGGCTTTTGGCAAACATTTAAAATTTATATTTTCTTCTATAAAATGGAGATTACATTTACTCCAAAAAATTTTTGGTGAGGAACAAATTAAAAAAACATAAAGAAGCTGGGCATGGAGGTACACTCGGGAGATGGCGGTAGGAGAAGCAGAAATTAATGGCCATCCTTGAGTACATAGTGGGCTTGAGACCAGCTTGAGCTACAAGAGATTCTCTTTTTTTTAAAAAAAAAAAATCTGAAAATAGTAACTAAACATTAAAGTTCAACATGGATATTGCATATTAGCACTGGTCATACAATGATAGATAAGACAGAGGTACACTAAAGAAATTTATTGTCTTATGGCAGAAAGAGATAAAATGGGTAATGATTAAATAATATGGAAATTCAGTGACAGAGATATGATCAAACCACTACTGGTTAACAAAAAGGGCATTCCAGAAATGAAAGTTAATTCTAAGAATAAAGTATCACAAACCAAATATGTAGAAATGGACAGATCACAGTGAGACATAAACAGGAGACGTCATTAATGAACAGAGGCAACTATAATCTAATAATTGTAAACCAATAGACTTTGGAGAAAGTATTACAAAATGGAAAAAGTACCTCGTGATGATTTAGAAGCTGTTCCAAATCTGATGCCATTTGGTTCTTCATCTGTAGCAGAGCTGATTTTTCTTTATTTAAATTGCTGTTAAAAAACCCCAAGTTTTAAGAAGTGACCTTGATAGTGTGA